ATTTTTCACCTTTGTACTTGATGAACTTGAAAGACTCGTTCTTCTCATTTCTTCCATTTCTTCCATCGTCACATGTGAAAGACTCGTTCTTCCTCGAACGAAACATGATCCATAAATTTCAAACAACAAAAGCGAAAATACAAACTAATAAGTGATTACAAGAAAATGTTTACTTTTGCAAGAATTATCTCCCAACAAATATGATTTTGGGTACAAATGGCAATAAGAATAACTTTAAGAAGAACCAGAAACTGGATTTACAAAACAAAAACAAAAAATGTTCCCTGATTACAGGCACAATAAAATGTCAAGATCAACCAAGCATTAATGTGACAGACAGCATCATTCAGAGATTGAATGCCAAATGGTACACCAGCAAAGCAATTATACCCTACAAGTGTCCAAGCGAAACAGATTCAGTAGACAACAGAAACAGAGTAAATAACTTTTTGACTGACAACTTTTTCTATGAGAGGCTATCAGACCATATTCAAATGTTGGAATACAATACCAAAGCCAAAGCCCAAGCAAGAATCAAGCACACATGTTAAAAGCAAGCTTAGCTTGGCTCTAATCAGTCGAGAATCAAATTTAGAAGCTAACGTGAGTATAACTCAACCGTAGTTGACATTGACATCGATGTTTATTTCGTCTCTTAAGATCAAAAGTTCAGGTGAATAATACTAAAAAGTAATACGAATCCAATGCAGAAATCCTTACTGTATTCCTGTAAATCCTCTGCAGGCATTCCAATGAAGATTTTTCATCAACCTCCTCTTACACAAACTTAATTTTCATCAGAACGTTGGTCCCTGCTATGGCCTAGAATTGACAAAAACCTCCTCTTACACAAACTTAATTTTCATCAGAACGTTGGTCCCTGCTATGGCCTAGAATTGACCCACAAACGCCTGCTCACTGACATATAAGAATAGAATATATCATTGATGAATGGATGTTAACACGAGCCGAGAGATTCGGCTTTAATCAATATGAGCGATGAATCAATATTTTTAATATGCTACAGAGATATCAACATCAATATCAATAAAATATCAACGACATCTTCATAAAATTGAGATCACAATATTTACATCAACATCAATATTTAAATCAGGCTGAAATATTAGGGGCTTTCAAACTATGTCTTTTTTTAGAATAATTCTTAAAGAGGGGGTTGGTTTTCAAATAATTCTAATTATATGATATATTGTCTTCTGGAAGATGCATTTGGGTAAAACATTTATTCAAAAGATAAAATTTTGGACATAGTCATCTTAATTCTTTCTGGCAGTGAATAAAGTAGCCTACTCTTGCAAGTACTTTTGAAACAATTTTTTTTTACATTATTTTCAAAAACTACATTAAAAAATCACTAGAAGTCCACATTTGGCTATATCCATCCTCTGAGCTGAATCCTCAAGCTGAAAGATCCTCAGGGTTGCCAATAGATTAAGAAATTAACAGTTACTTCCCTAAAGAAGAAGATAACTTCGTTTTACTTCTCATCTGCCTGAATGAGCCGCCACTGAAGCTTGCTGGAACCTTGATGAAGCTCTATAAGGGAGTGATCAATTAGTTCGCCTTCCCTCGTGCACGATCGTGTTTTTGCACAGAAACTTAGATAAAATCTACACAACTTAATTCTCTAGAATCATTTGAGATACAAATGATTTTATGGTTTAAAACTAGAAACATTCAGCACCCATTCAGACAGTAGTATAATTGATTCATGAATAATTGATCTAGTCCGGTCAGAGTTAGTACTGACCTTCATGCTTGCACTCAATGTAAAAATCTCTTCCGACACCGAGCAGATCCGAGTTCCTCGTATTCGGCCTTGGTAACACACATTGCTTCAAAACTAGGACTTGATGCCAGTAGTGATCCCCCTCTCCACACCCCTAAAATGGGACTGCAACAAAGCACGAATATTTACAATAAGTGTCAAGCCTCTACTTCGAATGGATAAAAACTAAAAAGAAGTATGTTTTGGGGCATATAATTTACTCTTCTTGGATTGTTATCTTCACTTTACATTCATCTGGGACAATAGGCCGGAGCTCCTTCTCTCTAAGACGAAAAATTGTCATGGAATGTTAATTATTGATTTATTTGAATGAAGAACTTATAAACTGTTAGATCAAGGGAATGAGGACTCACAATCTCTCAGCAAAATTGTGAAATAAAGTGCTTCCACCAGTCAAAACAATACTGCTTGAAAGTACAATGGTTAGTATCAGGTTAAAGGGAGTGAAAATCAATGCCTGTTTATAAAGCTATCAACACATAGCAAACAAAAATACCTCTCGTAGAGCACGGGGTGCAGATGAGGATGGCAAGAACTAACAGCTCTAACAATGCACTCCGCTAGGCCAGCCTGGTTCATTCCTGTTCAACTGATTGAGTAAGTCCAAATGGGATGGATAGTAAGGTATCCCTTTTCAAGTCTTTGATCAAAGATAATCGAGAATTCAAAAGCCTCTACATAGAACTTTGAGAACCCCTGCCCCTTCCAAATTTTGATGGTAATTTTATTTGAAAAATAAGAATGTTCTTCAGCAGATAAAGGTAACAAGACAGAAAAATAGATTAATCGAGATTAGAGTCCACTAAAGAGAGGGGTTTCTCATCCAAAGCCATTAAAATTCATGGTCGTTCATATTTTAAACCAAGAATATAAGAATATTGTACGAACCCAAATCTGAAGGATGAAATATCATTTCTGGAACAAGGAAGCGTTCGTTCGTCAAATCAAATTCCTGCAAAAACCATGAAGATCGAATTTAACAAACAAGGAAAGTTTGATATAGATTCACACAAGAGTAAGAATTTACATTTTTTGTTAGATCAATTTTCTTCCTGTTTTCAGTCTTTTCTGAGACATCTAGCTCAATCACATCATTCTTGACTCCAAGTGATGGAGATGAGGCTTCATCAGTCAAGGAGAGGTACCTCTTAGCTTCATCTGGATTTTTAACAAAACCCCTTGTATACGAAATCCCATCAGGGAGCACATATGTGCATCGGAAGAGATTATCCTTTCCTGGTTTCCTATTTCAAAAATTCATAACAGAATATAGCTCTTGCTCAAGATTGATGCATAAACAATGCCTCAAGTACTCAAACAGCTCAACTACTAAAATACTGAAGGAAAAAAAAAAAAAAACATTCAATGTAGTAAAGTTAGAAGCTAAAAGGCCTTATGATCTGAAGAACTTCACTATCCTTTGCTCATATTTACCAGGAAATCCACCATTCTAAGATTGAAGAACAGACAAACAATCTAAAACAATCTCATAAGAAATCTTCCACAAAAGATGCAAGCACACAGAAAAGAAAATCTGCAGATACTTCAATGGGATAACCAAAATTCAGAAGCCAGATAACTAGCCTCATAACCTGGAAAAAAAATGGTGTTCTAGCATCTCTTCACCAAAATTTTCCCAAGAAACAAACAGTCTGAAAATAACAAAAGAATGAGGAATTTCAAACAATCCCAGCAAAATTCATCTGGGAAATCATTAGAAAACTCCAAACCCCTGCCCTGGAAGAAAATAGGTGCAAACCTCGCTATCTGGAGGTCGCGGGGGACGTTAAGGGAGACAAAGCACAGCTTTTCTTTGACGTCGTCTATGATAAAGGTTTCATCCATAACATTCAAAGCGCGATATGAAACCAACTCCTTCAAATAGTTCGTCAATGCCTTCCCTCCCAGGTCGATGCGTTTAACAGCGTAGTTCAAAGTGAAGTTCTGGAACACTGGAGCCGCATGAGTGAAAGAAAACCCACAGTCAACAACAAGGCTACACTGTGCCCTAGATAGGAGGCTCGTCGGGCGGCGGCTGGCCTCATAGAAGTGAACTAAAGAAGGAGAATCTGAAACATAAAGAGAAGCAAAATTGAAATCCTCGAAAATGAGCTCGTCGGTGGCGCGTTGAATGGAAGGGAGAGTGAAGAGAGGTTCCGTCAAGAGGAGGGAGGAATTGGAGGGACTAACGTGAAGAAGAGAGGTGAAGAGGTGAGACCAAATGTCACGCTGCAGGTCGGGGTTTATGAGATAACCTCGGTCTATGGGGCGGCGGACGGAGGCCGATGTGAGGTCGAGATCGGAGGAGGCTTCAGCGGCGGCGGTGGCGGTGGCGGTGGTGGTGGAAATGGAGATTGGAGAAGGGTGGAGCCATTTCTTGGCGGAGAGAGGACGGTAGAGGCAGTTAGGAATTATGACGGAGGGATCGAGGTCGCCGCCGAAGCCGGCTTTTATGAGACCGCCGCCGTTGTCCAAGACGACGACGTTTGACATGAGAACGCAGTTTGAGCTTTTTCCGAGGATCGAGAGTTCGAGCAGGGAGCTCTATCTAGCTCCACTCCAGTCCATTATTGATGGTGATGACGTGGCTTATAAATTTTCCCATTAACTCTCAAATTTAAATAAACAATTTTTCTAATAAATAGATACCTCTAGCTAGCTTCGATTTGACTCGTCATGTGTTCCGGATAATCTCACAGTTTTAAAAGGTGTATGCTAGGAAGAGGTTTCTACACCCTCATATGAAATGCTATGTTTCTCTCTCCAATTGACATGAGATATTACAATCCACCCTTTGGGTGCCAACGTCTTCACTAGCAAAGTCCGGTGTCTAGTTTTGATATCATTTGTAGTAGTCCAAGCCCACCACTAGCATATATTGTTTGCTTTGGATCATTATATATCATCATCAACCTCATAGTTTTACAATGCGTCTGCTAGGGAGGGGTTTTCACGCCCTTATATGGAATGTTTCGTTCCCCCTCAAACCGATATGGAATTTGTAGACTAGATTGGTTGAATTATCGAGTCATATAAACAATTCCGGTTAATAACCGAAATTTGTAGACTGTTTTTTTTTTCTCAAAAAAAAAAAATATATATTAATAATAAATAATAATAATGACAGATTGAAGGCTAAACACGTAATTTAAGTATCAGGGAATGTTTATAAATTAACTCCGGCCACCGTGTGTTGTAAATTCTAGAACCAATTTCCCCGCCATGTTTTTCCTGCAAGTTCATTCAGTGGACACCGACCAACCTCTTACCGTCGGAATTTCGCCGGAGCAATCTTCAACCACCAGCACCGTTTCTCAACGAAACAGTACAGCTTCTTACGTCCATACGAAATTCAGCGAACGAAGGGGCATCATCCATTTATTCCGTAGCATTTCGCACTCGTCGCTCCCGAACCCTAGCTCTCAATCCACGATTCTCTTTGTTGTTGCTGTTCCGAACTATCTATCATACGATGATTTCATTAACTTTTGTGGTTCTCGCATTAACCATGTCTCCGAGCTTCTCTTCATCAGGTAACCCTTGATATTGCTTGTGTTTTCATTCTTTTTTTTTCTTTCTTTCTTTTCTTTTGGTGGCCGATGAATTGAATTCTACTGATTGACAACAACATCGAGCTGAGCGTTCTTGATTTACTTGATATTGTGATGCAAACGTGTTTCGATTCTGGAGAAGGTTTTATTATGTTGAAATATGAATAGCGTGTCTGATTAAGGCATAATGAGCCTCAAGACCTTTTATTTTCAAAGATTCTTTCCTTGAGTTCTTCTTTTGTCAATCACGAAGAGCAATTGAGTTGTTGATTGTGAGTTTATGATGGCTATTAGGTTGGAAATTTCTTATTCTTTTATGCATTGGATGGAACTGTAACTACGTTAAAGGCGATCATTGAAATGATGCCATTGTCTGAATTTAGTCTGCATATGGTAGAAGGGTGCTTGGTGGCAGTTTGATAAACTTTTCTTGTCTTTCACATGCTGCGCTCTCGATTGATGTCGTCTGATGGAACTTTTAGGAACGATGGTATGGAAGAACGATACAGTGTTTTGATTAAGCTTGGAAACCAAATGGATGCCGATGGGTTTTTTGGCAGTTTGAATGGCAAGAAGTTTTCTCCCTCCGAGGTACGAGAACTGCAACTTCAGTCGTTTATTTGATTTAATGGGAACATGATCATATAATATTGCCACATATATTATTCATTTTTAGGCTGAGGTATGTCATATTCTGTTTCTGATGTCTGTCGAGTACACAGAATCAGCAGAGGTAGCTGGGTCGCCTCCTGACGGATGTACTGAATTGCCTACTTGTCCCGTTTGCCTGGGTGAGTCGAGTGTTTCTGTTTCTGATTTATTTTTCTTGAGTTCTGATAGGCTAATTCTTCTTACTAATCTACATTTGAATGTTAGAGAGATTTGATCCTGATACTAGTGGAATAATTCACACACTATGTGACCATTCATTTCACTGCCCCTGCATTTCAAAATGGACTTCTTTATCTTGCCAGGTGATTATATACTCTGTTTTCCTCTATTATCTGTTTGTACTAGTATATCTACATTTTCACCCTCACTTGACCAAGAGCCTTGATATTTGAGCCTTGTTTTTCTCATTCCATGTTTTAAATAACTGCATAAATTCGTAAAGAACTTTTTTCTTTTTGCATTGGGGCCTGTTTGTATTTATCCGCTAGTTCTTATTCTTTGGATTTGAGCTCAATTAAGTATCACCTCATTGCTTGGGCTGTTTTCTTATATGCACTTTTATATTCTTTCTTCCCCTTTTTTTTAAATGAAAGCATTTTTTTCTCGATAAAAAAAAAATGAAAAAGTCCTGCAAAACCTCAAAAATACTAGTGATGCAGGAGCCTTTGTGTTTGTAATGAACTTCTCATGATATGACATATAACAACAGCTATATCTTACTGTATCTGATTCTTTCCTTTTTTTTTTTTTTTTTTTGGCCAATTAATAATGTGAAATGCAAAAAA